AGTGACCAATGTTTACTTTACTACTTTAATTGTAACATTGTCACTTTATTCAAAGTAGACAGAAATAAAATAAAACTAACCAAAACAGTCTTTGTTAGTTCCAATAATCACCAACTCTGGTTGTGATTGACGAGTCATTCTCAGTGAGTCCATCCAGCGCAATGCAGTCAAACTAAGCAGTGCTGATCAAATATGAATAAATGTTCTGTTACTGTATTACCAGTTTCTCGCCTAAAATCTTTTCAAAAACATATTTTAGTGTATTGCCAGCCAAGCTGCTGCAAACGTTAGCTCAGCTTTTCTCTTAACTGAGATCCAGATAACCTAAGATCCAGACTAAAATCCTTCATCTGGTTTAAATATATAGTTAAAAACAACCAAGATCTGAAAACTGCCTGGTAAAAATGGTAAAAAATGTGACTTAAAACTGGATTTAAAGTCAGTTTATGACACTTTCTGACAGACAACCACAACGATAACGCATGCACAAAGGGGATATGACGCCTGAATAAAGTGACAGATTTCTCTTTGAACATTGTTGGAAAGATTTGGGATAATGTGAGTACACAATTTACTAGAAGGTCTAGACATTTTAATGCAGAAATCTTACACAATAAAGCCGCAGTATAGGGTTCAGTTTGTAAGGTCTGATTAAATTCAAGGTGACTGTGGTGTGAAGTGTGTTAAAATGTTATTGTATCGTTGCACTAATAGTAGTATTTCAGGTGAGTGTGGTGGTCATTATAATAGTACCACATTTTATGGCCACAAAATCAAAGCATGCAAGCAATTTGATTCCTGAATATCTCTACTGTCCATCAGCTCTGATCTTTTGGCAGGGTCATATCATTACAGGAGAAATACTTCAGTCAGAACTGTGATTTATAAAAACAAAAATTCTTCAAAAATCTATTTTTGGTGCATCTTTCATTTTAATGAATGGAGCGCTTTGGATCAGGCCTCTTTTCTATTTAAAATAAATTTTGTGCACATCGGGGTGGGCTAGGTTTTTCCTCTCCTCCAAATAGGACATAAGGGCTTAAATACTCATTTCAATTTAACTCTCTTGCTCACTCACACACGCACGCACACACACACACACACACACACACACACACACACACACACACACACACACACACAAACAAACACAAACACTTCCTCTCATTACCATCGTTATCATTGCAGGTTCTTGGTTTTAGTTCTTCATTTTGAAGTGTGTCTATGTCTGTGTGTGTGTGTTCCTCCCTTTATCTCTTTCCCGCTCTCACTGCCAGGTCCTGATTTTTTTCTGGGGAGTGTGTGGTCCTATCTGTGTGAGCATGTTCCCGTCTTTGTGTGTGTTCGTCTCTCTCTCTCTCTCTCTCTCTCTCTCTCTCTCTTTCTCTCTCTCTCTCTCTCTCTCTCCCTCTCTCTCTCTCTCTCTCTGTATATTCGGCCCTCACCTCGAGGCGAGTCGATCCTCTTACAGTAATACCATTGCCTAATCTCAGAGGCGTATCAGAGGGAGCTCAGGGCGCTCAGCACTAATAGGTTCACACAAATGGGATCTAGTCAAAAACCTCCCAATCCTCCTGCCACTGTAAATATGGAGAGCATTATCTAAGTCTGCCTGGAGGCCTCCGATGTGGAACTGATGCAGATTTGACAGAGAGACTGAGAGATAGCGGCCAAAAAAGAGGTGATTTAACATGCTGTTAGCAGTGTTACAGCAGTAATTTTATTGGTTGTAGGGATGAATCGAATCAAATTTCAACTTTTTAAAACCCCGATGGAGTCTGATGTCATTTATGCCGGATTGGAACAGAAACCATCACGTTAATATGAACACTGTTAAGGTATAAAATTAAGTGACATTTTTTAACCACAACATAACTGGATCCTTTAGAGGCCAAAGTAAAGCTTTAAATGTTGATGATGCTCCTCTTCCATTGATTATTAGGGGCTTTGATAACCTAATTTAAAGTTTGTTTAAAGGTCCAGTGTGTAACATTTAGGAGGATGGAATAATAATATTCATAGGAATGTTTTCATTAATGAAAAAAAACCCTGAAAATAAGAAGTTTTGTTTTTAAGTTACATTAGAGTGTGCTGTTATCTACAGAGGGAGCGAGTCCTCTACTGAGGCTGCCATGTTGAATCACCATGTTTCTACAGTACCAAAACCAACAAACCAAACACTGGCTCCACTGTCCTGTTTTTCACATTTTTTATAGCTACCATAGTCTGTCTGTCTTTGACCCCTTGGCTGCTTCTGAATGTGTTTTGGTCACTTTTCCTCCTTTAACTTTTTCTTTAAAAGTTCCAGTGTGTATGATTTAGTGTGTAGCATGAACTACAGAAAAAGCGTGAAAGGCCCTATCTGCAGCCAGTGTTTGGTTTGTCCATTCTGGGCTGCTATAGAAACATGGCGGTTCAACATGGCTGACTCAATGGAAGGTGAACCGCAGCATGTGTAGGTAACGAAAATATTAAGATTCCTGTATTCAGGTGATTATACGCTAAAACATACCTATGAATATTATATTCCATTTCTGTTAATAGATCCTCGTAAATGTTACACACTGGACCTTTAAGTCTGGAATTAGTTGGACTTTATTTATGCCAGACTACAGGAGTTTTAAAATCGTAACTGATATTGAAACTTCAGAAATTACACACGCACTACAAGATTTGAAAATATTGGTGCATTACACTCTAAGGGATGCATTTAAGATTTATGTGCCAGAGGGAGGAAGGCATCACCTCCCATGATCTCATGGGGAAGCAGATGTAAACAAAATGGAGATTGACATAGAACAACTTGCTGCAGTAATGTTAATGATTTGCAGTAAAAAGGGTAAAAAATAGAGATTCAATTATAAAATATCAAGCTTGCATGCTTGCAGTCACAGTTTTTACGTGGAAAGCACAACATGTACATCACTGAATCCAGATAAAAACTGTAAGAACTCCCAGAGATGATTGCAGAATGTACTGAAAGAAGTGTATATGTACCATATATACTGAATCATTTGTTTTGTAGCCTACATGTAATAAGTCAAATAAGCACAAACTAAAATGCTGAAGTATGTCCAGAATGAATACGCTATAAATACGAGATTTATTTGTTGGATAAAAAGTTAACATGAATTTATGTGATTTAAAAAGACTGATGTATCTTGCCCTTTCTGGCTTTTTTCAGCTGCATGTACTTCCCAGGCACAAAAACATTGTAACGTTGTAAAATGAATAAAAGAATAAATCTGATTCTATATTGATGTAGTGAGAGGGACAAATTCCCACTAGATGTTGAACAGTCCTTAAACTGCACAGTCAGTGAAGATGCAGGTATATGTGAGAAAATATGAGTGGTGAAACCTGTTCAGATGTTTCCGTGCCATGTGAGCTGCCATCCTCTGTTCCTGTAGCTGAACTACACATAGGCTTTGCACAAAAGTCAGAAACTAATTGGAGCTGAAACATGCAGACACAGTCCTGCAGTGACACCCAGAGGCTCCAAACAGTAATGCTTGATGAAAATACACAGCAGGAGCTACTGCAGTTCACTATGATACACTGACAGCTCTATTAAACTGAAAAAGATATTAGTTCAATACACAGCTATCAAAGTTATCACCCCATCCCAGCATGTACTGATATCAATTCCAATTCCAAGTCTTTGTGCTTCTGTAGTTTTTATATATTTTATTGAATAAATGCACAAAATAATTTTTGATTGTGTATCTACTACAGTGTTTGTAAATGTGAATAATGAAGGACTCTGCTTCATTATTCCCATATATCTTAATATTCATATATCCATCCAGTTATTTCCTTACAAGTACCTCCCTGTCCACAATTTTAGTGATTCTATTTTCATAATATATATATATATGTGTGTCTACATCCACACAAAAGAATAAAAGAATACAATTAATAAGAAATGTATGGATGGTGCACCCTTTTTCCATATACTATTTCAGTCATTGCTTTGTATTTTAAAGCGGATGGTAAACAGCAGTCACTGTGGTCATAAGCTGAAGTTTCCCAATCACGGAAACATATTTATGCTAAAATGTTATGTAACGTATAAGTACAGAAGAGTCAATATATATATGGAATACTACACAATACACTGCCCTGCGCCCTCCGATACACACATCACACATCATAAGAAGCACAGTACGTTGGACAGATCAGTTTCAGTTCACATTCAATATTCTTTTTAAAGATAAAGATTGTGTTATTTGTTATTTTATACCTTCGTAGTCTCACTTTCATACCAATAAGAGTTATTATTTTTCTGCATTATTTTTAAGGAAATCAATGAATGAACCCCACTTGAATGACTGAACAAATCTAAAATGAAAGTTACAATTTACAAAATAAGCAAATAATTTCTGGGCCCATAAAAGAGGTCAGCTAAGCATAATTTAACTCAGGCTATGCCAGCTTAACGTAAAATGAAAAGACTAAAGAACCACAAAACTGTCCACAAAGGAAAAAATATGATGATTGAAAAATAGTAATAAAAAGTATAAGTAATGATACTAATTGTTTCATCAACCAAACAAAAATTATTTCAATGTATTTGAAAAAGAATTAAAAAATATATATATATATTAATGTCAAAAGAATGTCTTCGTTTAAAATAAAAAAATTTACTCAGTCAATCAAAACTTACTAAAACATTAACAATATCAACAGAAAAGAAAATATAGACGACAGTAAAGTCATGCCAGAAAAATTACAGCAAAGAGAGGCTGTGAAAGACAGATCTGTTCTCAGAATTTCACATTTATTTCTGTACTACTACTTGAACTCAGCTGTGCAGCCATAATCCAGCTCATGTCCAGCACAAAGAGACTGAGTGAATGTGGTCTGGACTCTGTGGAGGAGAGTCATGGTCTCCGAGACGCTGTAGAAGGACAGAATACCTACTCTGTGATCCAGATACACTCCCACTCTGGAGGACTGAGGACCTGAGATTGAAATTAAGATATTGTTATGTCTGTATTTATAACCACTGTCAAAACACAACAATGCCTAAGATGTGTCATTGTTCACAAATCCACTTTAATATACTGCTCTTCTCATATTTGTACATATTTGCTACTGAAACTGCAACCCCACTCCACTCCACCTCCCAGTAACAATGTCCAGTCAAACTCTCTCTACTCAGGACCTGAAGACTGTGGAGGTAACTTGGTTAATTTCCACTTTCATCTTCATTACTGAGTCACTTATAAGTGTTGCTTTTCTGTTTCCATCAGATATCAAAAGACGTGTGTTTGCTGTGTTTGGATCCAATGTGATTTGATGTGAATATTGTAAGAACTCAGATCTGGTCTTGGGCTCTGCTTGTGGCAGTAAAACATCCACTTCAGTCAGTGACAGTTCGATTTTTGTCCATTCCTCACTAAAAATGTCCTGTAGTTTATCTCTGGCCTCTGACACAGCCACCATCACATCCTTAAAATGAAGTACAGGACGAATATCGATTCACTACAACATGACAAAGGGGGATACTTGCGTAGAAACTGGATGGGGTCCTCTGTGTGTGAGAGTTGCTCCAGCTAGTTAGATCAGTAAAAATCTTCTCACTGTCCCTCACTGCTTTATCAGCAGCACGATTGATAGCCTCCACATCTTCCTGAAGCACTTTCACATCTTCCTCTCTGTCCTGGATTCTCTGCTGAATCAGTCATTTCTGCTGCAGTTGAGACAGTGTCGTGGCCTTTATGTTCATCCATGGAGCAGAGAATACAGATACACTGCTGATCAGTGCAACAGAAAATCTTCATTATCTCATTGTGATGAGTGCAGATGTTCTCCTGAAGCTTCTTGGAGGGGTCGACCAGCTTGTGTTTTTCAAAGGCAGCGGATTCATAGTGAGGCTGGAGGTGTTGCTCACAGTAAGAGACCAGACACTGCAGACAGGACTTGAGAGCTTTCATCTTTCTCCCAGAGCAGAAATCACAGGACACATCTCCTGGTCCGGCATAGCAGTGATCAGCTGGAGCAGCTTGAGGTTCTGTCTTCTTCAGCTCCTCCACTAAATCTGCTAACATGGTGTTTTTCACCAGGGCAGGCCTCGGTCTGAAGGTCTGTCTGCACTGAGGACAGCTGTAGACTTTCTTCTGATCTTCTTCATCCCAGTGGCTTTTTATACAGTTCATACAGTAGTTGTGTCCACAGGGAATAGTCACTGGATCCTTCAGTAGATCCAGGCAGATGGAACAGCAGAGTCTTTCCTGGTCCATCTGAATTAGTTGCTGCGCCATTTCACCACCCAGAGACAGCGAGTGTCAAATAGTTTCACTTACTCACTTAATGTTGGTAACACTCATCTGTCAGGGACACAAGAAGCATGTTGAATGACTGGTTTGTACTTAAAATTAGGGAGAGGAGGGAGGGGTTATCAAGTTTTGATAGATTAAAGCAAGTTGCTGGTTGTTCTAGGCCATGTTCAGGACATGAAGTGAAGAGTTTGGAACGTAAGACTGGATGATCCCCCCCTTAAAATACATCCTGCTCACAGTACATGACCTAAGCTCACTGGTGAAACAAGTACTAGTTATCTTTTAGGGCGACTGCCCGTTACAACTTTTCAGAGAGCACAACACCCCCCTTTGTGTTTTCTGTTTTTATGAGGTTTTCTTTTAAACTTCAGCATGGCAGCCTGACAGGAAAGGAGCCAGTTGGGAAAGGAGAAAACTAAAGTGCTGTTTTCACATATCTGTCTCCATTCGTGGCCCCTTTACTGGTTACTTTGATTTTTAATTTGATTTATTCACCACCAGGTGTCCCCCTTGGATTACTTTTCCCTCTGTGACGCATAGACCTTTTTCACAGTAGACATCTTGACTTGTGATATTGAGGAAGCCATTATGTTACTACTAACATTTACAATGGCTCAGTTCTATTCAGTCCAGGTATCTGGGACCAGTGTGCTTCAGGATCAATTTCAAGGTCCTTTTATTGGTTTATAATGGTCTTAGACCTACTTTTTATCAGATTTGCTTTTACACTATGAACCCTCTAGAACTGTCAGGTCTTCAGGCAGTAGCCTTTTAATTATCCCCACAGTCAGAACTTGTATGAAAAGCGCTATACAAATAAAGTCTGACGTTGAGCCAGCATACACAATACCAGGACCCTAAAACTGAAGCAGTTCACCATTAAATCACTTGTTTTATTATTTACAGCTGTTCTTTTCCAACTGTAATATGCCAAAATGTCTGCAATATTGCTTGACTTATTCTTTTTACCTGTGTAATTTCTTCAGTTTGTTCAGGCCATCACCGGTAACTCATCTTCATTTCTTACATTTTGGGACTGTCATCTATTTGTTGATTTCTAAACCTTGTTAGTTTAATTCCTAGGAAATATGTTTTAGTTTTTATGTTTTGTGTTTTGTATTTTTAAGCCTACATTCATCAGGACAAAAAAAAAAAAAAAACAAATCACAGATAGAAACACCTTCTTATATCTTTGGCTTTTACTCATTGTTTGTTACTAATTTATCCTGTCATATTGCACTTTACTCTTTTAACTTTTTTCTATTTTCTGTGTACCACCACTGCTGCACTTTACTAAAAATAAAAATTTGTAAAACATTTTGTGATCTGGCAGGCCTGAAGAGTCACAGTTGGATGTTCAAAAAGTTGGTTTTATTAACACAAAACTGAAAAATATAACCAAAAAGTTCTGGGCCCATAAGAGAGGTCCACCAAACAGCACTTAACTCAGAACACACCAACTGAACATCAAATGAAAGGGAACATACACAGACCAGCCATAACATTGTGAGCACTGACAGCTGAAGAGAATAACACTGATTATCTGGTTATCATGGCAGCTGTCAGTGAGTGGGATATATTAGGCAGCAAGTGAACATTTTGTCCTCAGAGTTGATGTGTTAGAAGCAGGAAAAATGGGCAGTGTGAGGATTTGAGCGACTTTGACAAGGGCCACATTGTGATGGCTAGACGACTGGGTCAGAGCATCTCCAAACCTGCAGCTCTTGTGGGGTGTTCCCGGTCTGCAGAGGTCAGTACCTATCAAAAGTGCTCCAAGGAAGGAAAAGAACCAGAGGCAGGGGCATGGAGACTCATTGATGCACGTGGCGAGTGAAGGCTGGCCCGTGTGGTTCGATCCAACAGACGAGCTACTGTAGCTCACACTGCTGAAACAGTTCATGCTGGTTCTGATAGAAAAGTGTCAGAACACACAGTGCATCACAGTTTGTTGGTATGGGGCTGCAGAACATTATGACCACCAGGGTGCCCAGGTGGTAACAATGTTATGGCTGATCAGACCATTTAGAAACAAAAGTGGTAACACAAAGACATAACCTGACTGCACTTGATGGTTTTAACTGAAAACTACAACTCAGGCCCAGTTTAACTATAAATAAACTGTAGTATGATGTATGAAACAATTGTTTTTTTATGATTTATTTGATTGCTGGTGTATACAGTATATAGTGTGAATGTAATGTGCATAAGTTAAAGGTCAACAAACCAAATCAGTAAATGAATCATTAAGTATAAAGTATAAAGGTGAGTGCTGGAGGGTTCCCTGTCAGTCAGCATGGTGCTTCCATCACACATAGATAAAAAAAGAAACACACCACAGCAGAGAGCAGCAAAGATAGAAACTACATCAGTTTGTTAACTTAAAGCATTTATTGCCTCATTAATGGCTCTTGTCTATTTGGGCTCACACAACTCAGAGGAGGATCCAAAACCAACAAAAGTATAAAACTATAGAAATTAAGGTAAGGGATCATACTATAAACTAGGTTTTTGGAGAAGAACAGAATTTAGTGTCCCCCTGACTTAAACCTATAAACTACAGTGGGTACGGAAAGTATTCAGACCCCTTTAAATTTTTCACTCTTTGTTTCTTTGCAGCCATTTGCTAAAATCAAAAAAGTTCATTTTATTTCTCATTAATGTACACTCAGCACCCCATCTTGACAGAAAAAAAAACAGAAATGTAGAAATTTTTGCAAATTTATTAAAAAAGAAAAACTGAAATATCACATGGTCATAAGTATTCAGACCCTTTGCTCAGTATTGAGTAGAAGCACCCTTTTGAGCTACTACAGCCATGAGTCTTCTTGGGAATGATGCAACACGTTTTTCACACCTGGATTTGGGGATCCTCTGCCATTCTTCCTTGCAGATCCTCTCCAGTTCTGTCAGGTTGGATGGTGAACGTTGGTGGACAGCCATTTTCAGGTCTCTCCAGAGATGCTCAATTGGGTTTAGGTCAGGGCTCTGGCTGGGCCAGTCAAGAATGGTCACAGAGTTGTTCCGAAGCCACTCCTTTGTTATTTTAGCTGTGTGCTTAGGGTTATTGTCTTGTTGGAAGGTGAACCTTCGGCCCAGTCTGAGGTCCTGAGCACTCTGGAAGAGGTTTTCTTCCAGGATATCTCTGTACTTGGCCGCATTCATCTTTCCTTCAATTGCAACCAGTCGTCCTGTCCCTGCAGCTGAAAAACATCCCCATAGCCTGATGCTGCCACCACCATGTTTCACTGTTGGGATTGTATTGGGCAGGTGATGAGCAGTGCCTGGTTTTCTCCACACATACCGCTTAGAATTAACGCCAAAAAGTTCAATCTTGGTCTCATCACACCAGAGAATCTTCTTTCTCATAGTCTGGGAGTCCTTCATGTGTTTTTTGGCAAACTCTATGCGGGCTTTCATATGTCTTGCACTGAGGAGAGGCTTCTGTCGGGCCACTCTGCCATGAAGCCCCGACTGGTGCAGGGCTGCAGTGATAGTTGACTTTGTGGAACTTTCTCCCATCTCCCTACTGCATCTCTGGAGCTCAGCCACAGTGATCTCTGGGTTCTTCTTTACCTCTCTCACCAAGGCTCTTCTCCCACGATTGCTCAGTTTGGCTGGACAGCCAAGTCTAGGAAGAGTTCTGGTCGTCCCAAACTTCTTCCATTTAAGGATTATGGAGGCCACTGTGCTCTTAGGAACCTTGAGTGCTGCAGAAATTCTTTTGTAACCTTGGCCAGATCTGTGCCTTGCCACAATTCTGTCTCTGAGCTCCTTGGGCAGTTCCTTCGACCTCATGATTCTCATTTGCTCTGACATGCACTGTGAGCTGTAAGGTCTTATATAGATAGGTGTGTGCCTTTCCTAATCAAGTCCAATCAGTTTAATTAAACACAGCTAGACTCCAATGAAGGAGCAGGACCATCTCAAGAAGGATCAGAAGAAATGGACAGCATGTGAGTTAAATATGAGTGTCACAGCAAAGGGTCTGAATACTTATGACCATGTGATATTTCAGTTTTTCTTTTTAATAAATTTGCAAAAATTTCTACATTTCTGTTTTTTTCTGTCAAGATGGGGTGCTGAGTGTACATTAATGAGAAATAAAATGAACTTTTTTGATTTTAGCAAATGGCTGCAATGAAACAAAGAGTGAAAAATTTAAAGGGGTCTAAATACTTTCCGTACCCACTGTATAACTGATTAATTTTTATTGCAATACAGTAATCTTTTGTGTGTCTCTGTAAAAATATTGATTATAGCCCTTTTGAGATCAACAAAACGTTAAGTCAACAGTTTTCATAGGGACTAATTATTGACAGTGTGTAGTTACTATGCTTTAATTACTTTGCATGGCTAAAAACAAGTAGGGGTGTGTTTTTGTAATTTTAGTGAACTGACCCTTGAAATTATGACAAGACACAGTATAATCTGCTGAAACTGGCACACAACAAAAATATTTTCTAATTGAACAGCCTTGGCTGGATAGCAGGTTTTCACAGGATGGCATATTGTTTGGCATGCAGTAACGCGGGAGTTATATGTGACATGTTTCACAGAGGACATTCAAAAATGTTACTGACCTCTGGATGATTTTAAAGCTGTAAGTGTAAATATTTTCACAACCGCTTCACAGTTAGGACATATTCCCATTGATGTACTGGGACTAAAATTCATTGACATAAAGAGGCTTCTCGGGCACGAGTAGACAGTTTTTTGGCAGTAATTTGAACACAAATACAGTTTTTGTAACTATGGCTGCACAATATGGTAAAAACATCTTAAATGTGATTATTTTGACAGATATTGAAATTGCAGTATGATTCAGGATTAGTGTGGACATTAGAATTTTTGCATTACATATTTAATTTTCACTGAAATAATATCTGTACCAAACAGATATGTGGTCTTAAATCTGGAGAACAAGATTTGTAGGCCAGGGCCTCTCTGTAGATCCACAATACTTACAACGCTGTTTGTCACACATTCTACATTTAAAACTGTCGCTTCTGTGATTTGCATATTGCAAATGGAGACTGTCCTACCTCACACTAGCAGCCAGAGTCCGAGCAGTCCACTGAGACTCTGTCTGGGACTCCATCTTTGTCTAAAGTCACTGCTTGCTAACAGGGGTCACAGCAACCTTGCCCCTTCCACCAGGGAATAGATCCGTCCATTACGCGCATTTAGCATTGATTTTGTTCACATACAATCAGTAAATCCTTACATCAGCTAGGTTCAATATTTCCATCTACATATTAACTTTAGCCATACAATTACTCTCCTAAAGCAGTAGTTCATCACTATGGTGAGAAAGATCAAAGACTGTCAAACTAATGATAATGAAGCAGCTTTAAAGCACTAATACATATAATTATGTGAGTTTACAGAGGAAGAAGAAAGCATGGCTCTGACGGCTGATCCGACAGGGGCTCTTTAGTGAGGCAGGTAAAGGTGTACAAAAAAAGATATCCAATCTGCCACCCCTAAAAAATCGCCGGGCCGCCCCAGCTGCCACCCCAGTTTGGTGTCAAATGCTGCTAAATTTAACACATAAATCTGATTTATATTTTTAAAAAATAACGTGTTAAAAATGGTAATTAACACATCATAATAATCATTGATTAATTGAATTAAAAAAACTGGAAAAATGTCAGAAAGATTTGTAAACAAAGATTTGTAAATAAAACAATTTATTGATTTCTAATGCCACCTCTCACTAATGTCCCACAATAATGTAAGGTTTTTCATTAAAAAAATATTCATTTGGAATTTTCCATGCAAATGTTGATGTGATTGTTTGCTGTTATTTCTATATATATTTCTGCCACCTCTTAAAGTCTACATGCCTCCCTCTGGCCACCCCATGAACATTTCTTTAGATCCACCCCTGTCTGGGTCTAACAAACCTATTCAATCTGGATCATATACCAGCCATGGGAGGCCTTCTTCCCCACACATAAGGCTTATACATGACACGACCAGAGGGTGCTAAAGTAATAGTATGGACTCCATTCAAACATGTCAGAGAAAGAGAAAAGTGTATCTACATCATATACATGCACCTACAAATCCTGAAAAAAACCCAACAAATACCAATAAACGATTATATTCAACAAAATGTCCATGCCCCAAAATGTGTGAAACAAACTTCACAAACTAAAAAAATATATATACAATAAAAACAAACCAAAAGGTACATGAGTAAAAGACTTAGTTTAAAAATCTCAGTTTGACATTTTTAAGTATTTCTTTTTTGGGGGCTTTTATTGCCTTTATAGTAGCGATAGCTGAAGATAGACAGGAAAGGGGGACAGGGAGAGGGGATGACACGCAGCAAATGGCCACAGGTCGGACTCGGACCCTGGGCCGCTGCAGCAAGGACTCAGCCTCAGTACATGGGTTGCCAGCTCTACCCACTGAGCTAACCGGGCGCCCCTTAGTTTGACATTTAGTTGTCTGATCCCCTGCAGAATGGCCAAACAATTCAAACAAGTGCTGGTTTCTATTGCAAATCAAAATTGGCCTGTGTAAAGGATGATTAAACATATGCAATTTTTACAGATCGAAACATATATTTTGCTGCAGTGACAATTCCTTTTTTCATCATAGTTTCACTGACACATAACATATTATATCAACAGAAAATGATTTCTTATATATTGTCACCAAGTTTTAATGTAATACAATTCTATGTTTAAAATAAAAATGTTTACTGAGTCACTTACCGAAACTTAAACAAAATCAACAGAAGATCAAAGATAGAAAACAGGAAAGTGACGCTGTTTGATTATCAGGTCATCAGATGGCAAATGCAGAAAATCACAGCAGAGAGATGAGAAATCTATTTCAATACAACACAGAATATCACTCCATCCACCCATTCATTTCTGTCTACTTGAGCTCAGCTGTAGATCCATAACCAACCCAAAGTCCAGCACAGAGCGGCTGAGTGAATGTGGTCTGGACTCTGTGGAGGAGAGTCATGGTCTCAGAGACGCTGTAGAAGGACACAATACCTGCCTGTGATCCAGATACACTAATGTCCCCCACTCCACTCCACCTCCCAGTAACAACGTCCAGTCAGACTCTCTCTACTCAGGACCTGAAGACTGTGGAGGTAACTTGGTTAATTTCCACTTTCATCTTCATTACTGAGTCACTTATAAGTGTTGCTTTTCTGTTTCCGATATCAAAAGATGTGTGTTTGCTGTGTTTGGATCCAATGTGATTTGACGTAAATATTGTAAGAACACAGCTCTGGTCTTGGGCTCTGCTTGTGGCAGTTAAACATCCACTTCAGTCAGTGACAGTGAGATTTTTGTCCATTCCTCACTAAGTATGTCCTGTAGTTTATCTCTAGCCTCTTATATTGTGGGATCATTACATTTACATAATGTACATAATTTAATTCCTAGGAAATATTTGTTATGTTTATATAATAATTGTTATATTTGCTCTAGAACATCCAGGAGGAACCAAAAACTATCTATTTTATGATTTTTTAAATGTATTCTTTTATCGTGTTGGGCAGCACCTAAACTGCACTCAACAGTAAGTGTATTGTTCAGTAATGATAGTATCATCATGCTGCACAGATAAAATGTTTTATTTATGGTTCTTATATTGTACGCTATTTTCTTTTTTAATATTTCTGATTTCTCTTGTCACATACACCGTTTTCAGTTTTCTGTGTTTCTGCTGCTCTGCTCTTGATCACTTTTTAGAAAAACAATTTAAAAGTGACAAACATATTGTGACCTGGCAGGTATAAGGAGTCACAGGTAAAATTTCAAAACTTTTATTTACCCACATTTACACAAATGAAAGATATAATTTAGTAAATATAATCAACAAAGTCCTGGGCCCATAAAAGAGGTCAACCAAACAGAACTTAACTCTATGCCAACTGAACATAAAATGAATAGAGAAATAGAGACCATTTTGAAAAACCAAAGTGGTAACACAAAGACATATCCTGACAGATAGTTTGTCACACTATCTGGGAAATTGTAAATTGTTTGGAAAAAGGCAGGCACTTTCAAAAAAGAGTGGTAGTTGATTGGATGAACCTGTCAATCACAAGCGACCCTAAACCAATCCGATCAACAAACCATATAATGTAGTCTCATCATCTCAACATATTTTCTATTGATAAAAGTCTTCAGTGCTGTTCTTTACTCTCCAGTTCTGATATAACTGATGTTAATAGCATCTGCGCTAACCTCTCTATTAGCTGCCATTGTTGTTTTTAAGCCACCACACACATAGCATCAAACCACGCCCGTAGCTCGAGCTGGCACTGCCAGTAGTTCCTCATAGGACACTGATTAGTTAGAGTTTGAAAGCACATCACCACTGCAATTAATCAAAACTAGACCTTGCCAGAAAAGCCTATGTGAGCTGGAACACTGAAGTCTAAGTAACCGGCAACTTCTGTTCTAAAGTGTGTACAGTTAGTCAGTGTAGTGCAGGGGAATAGTCCATTAGGCGCATTTAGCAGCATCTTGCACTCTGATGGAGCATGCTTTTCAAGTGGTGCTGATAAACATGAAAAAAAAATCATTCATCTGGGTCCAGGGGCGGATTTTAAAAAATGCCTGGCCATCCCAGTTTGCTGTCAAATGCTTTTAAATTTAACAATTAATTCAGATTCATTTTCAAAAAGTGATGTGTTAAAAAAATGGAAATTACACATATAATTTAATGATCTGTTATGACCACATTTTAGAAAAATGTCTGAAGATTTAGAAATAAAACAATGTATTGATTTCTAAAGCCACCTTCACTAATGTGCTGTAATAACATATATAAAGAACAATAATGTTTTTTAGTTCAAATTTCCAAGCAACTATTGATACATGTGATTGTTTGCAGTTATATCAGAAATATATTTTTGTTTTCTACATGTCACCCTCTGGCCACCCCATGAATATTTCTTTAGATCCACCCCTGGATAGGATTGCTGTCCTGAAATCTTCTTTTTTGGTCCCCCTATATCGTAGTCCACAAGGGCATTCAAGGTGATATACCAGAAAGGAAGTGTTGCAGTTTGTGAAGTGATTTATCTTTATGTCTAGTACACAAGTATGTGAACTGGAGCTGCAACTGAGATTAATTGTTTGGTCAATAAAATGTAAGAAAATATTGAATAATGACCATCACAACTTCCTAAATTCCAAGACGATGACTTAAAATTGCTTGTCTTGTCAGACTAACAGCCCAAAATCCAAAACTGATTCAGTTTGTGACCACATACAACCAAAACCCTCACAACTGAGAATCTGGAATTAGGGAATGTTTGGCACTTCTGCCTATTTGAGCTCAGCTGTGGAGTCATAACCAACCCGAAGTCCAGCACAGAGCGGCTGAGTGAATGTGGTCTGGACTCTGTGGAGGAGAGTCATGGTCTCAGAGACGCTGTAGAAGGACAGAATACCTGCCCTGTGATCCAGATACACTCCCACTCTGGAGGACCAAGGGCCAGAGATGGAAGTGCTGATGTTGTTATGTCTGAAATTATAAGTGTTATTGTGACAGTCTAATGTCCAAGATGTGTCATTGTTTCCAAATCCACTTTCATATACTGCTCTTCTCATATTTGTGTATGTGACTGCTACTGAAACCGCGACCCCACTCCACTCCACCTCCCAGTAACAACGTCTATTCAAACTCTCTCTACTCAGGACCTGAAGACTGTGGAGGTAACTGGGTGGAACTTTGCTAAATAAATCCAGTGTCATCTTTAACGTCTTAAATATTGAGTCTGTCGTCACTGTTGCTTTTCTGTTCCCGTCAGATAATAACAGCTCTGTGTTTGCTGTGTTTGGATCCAGTGTCATTTGGCATGAATATTGTAAGAACTCAGCTCTGGTTGTGGGCTCTGCTTGTGGCAGTAAAACATCCACCTCAGTCTCTGTCAGTGAGATTTTGGTCCATACATCACTAAGTAAGTCCTGTAGTTTATCTCTGGCCTCTGACACAGCCACCATCACATCCTCAAAATGCCGTACAGGACGAATATCGATGCTGGGTGAGTCTGTAGACTTACTAAGACATGTCAGTGAGGGATACTTGTGTAGAAACTGAATGTGGTCCCCTATGTTTGAGAGTTGCTTCAGCTCGGTGTCTTTCTGCCTCAAATCAGTGAGCTCCAGCTCTATTGTCTTCTGAAGCTCTTTGATTTGACTCAATTTACATTTCTGCTGGAATCTAATCTGCCGCTCTATATAAGAACTTGTGTTTTTAATTAGGTTGATCAGATCTGTGAAGATTTTCTCACTGTCCCTCACTGCTTTATCAGCAGAGCAATCAATAGCCTCCACCTCCTGCTGAAGCTTCTTCATATCTTCCTCTCTGTCCTGGATTCTCAGATGGATTTTTTGCTGACTTACCCCAAGTTTTTTCTGCTTCTCAGTCATTTCTGCTGCAGCTGAGACAGTGTTGTGGCCTTTATGTTCATCCATGGAGCAGATATAACAGATACACTGCTGATCAGTGCGACAGAAAATCTTCATCACCTCATTGTGACGAGTGCAGATGTTCTCCTGAAGCTTCTCGGAGGGGTCAACCAGCTTGTGTTTTTCAAAGGCAGCGGATTCATAGTGAGGCTGGAGGTGTTGCTCACAGTAAGAGACCAGACACTGCAGACAGGACTTGAGAGCTTTCATCTTTCTCCCAGAGCAGAAATCACAGGACACATCTCCTGGTCCGGCATAGCAGTGATCAGCTGGAGCAGCTTGAGGTTCTGTCTTCTTCAGCTCCTCCACTAAATCTGCTAACATGGTGTTTTTCACCAGGGCAGGCCTCGGTCTGAAGGTCTGTCTGCACTGAGGACAGCTGTAGACTTTCTTCTGATCTTCTTCATCCCAGTAGCTTTTAATACAGTTCATACAGTAGTTGTGTCCACAGGGAATAGTCACTGGATCCTTCAGTAGATCCAGGCAGATGGAACAGCAGAGTCTTTCCTGGTCCATCTGAATTCCTTGCTGCGCCATTTCACCGCTCAGAGTTGGAGAATGTCTGGGCTGAGATATTTGGACTGAAGGCATTCAGTGCATTTAAGTGTACAAGATAGACGCCTTATCAGATCAGACTTTGATTCATTCCTGGTCGATGAAACGGTCTGTTGGACTTGAGTTGTGTTTATAGGCCCATTTACAACATAGAACAAAGATTAACTAACTTAGAACTTAGAAACTTACTGCAATGATGAATATTCACATGATGTCTACATCCAGCCATCTCAGCAATGCAGGTTAGTGTGTTTGGAGCTGTGTGACATTATCAGGTTTCAGTCGTCTATGCTGCAGAAGACACTGATCATTCCCACAACTGCTTGTAGAATTTACCTACAGCCATTATACAGAAGCAGTTAAGATCTGTTTGGCTCCTAATTAAAAGAGGTGCTGCTGTGCACTAACCCTGTGAGGCAGCTGGGTTTCGTAGTTGATCTGTTTGCAAACAAGTTAAACTCCTCCCTAACCAGCCAAAACCACTAACAACTAATTAGTACAGCAAACATTTTTACTTGTCAAGGCAGGAAAAGAACAGGTAATAACATTATTGAGGCTTCAGTTCCATTTAGTGTAGCAGTAAACCATGTTGGTGAGTGAGCTTGCACAATCCTAGAGCCCTGAAACTGGCTCACCAGAATGGATTGCTGCCATCATTAAGGTTATTACCTGTTCTTTTCCTGCTTTGACAAATCAGACATTCACAGCGCCCCCAGATCCAACTCATTTTGGTGAATCGCTCACTTATTCTCTAACCATGAGGTGGCTCTAGTAAACATATGAAGGAGAAAACATTACTTGATTAAATTCTGCATCAGCATCATCAATATAGTCGTGAGCATGTCAGCATGTTAATGATAGCATTTAGCTCAAACCATCCACTGGCATGGCTATAGACTCTTTGAAGAATAGAATTGTTTCATCTATGACTCCTGGTGGATTCCACCGTTTTCTTTCAAGATTCCAAAATTGTTATTAGTTTCCAGTACAGGCATTATTGTGCACCTAAAGGTCATCTACTAAATGCAACCTCTCTAAATATCGGAAAACGTAAATAGATAGGCAGCAATGAGGACACCTTTCGTACTGTAATTTACTGTTGGTCACTGCCTCACAAAATGTCAGTGTTTTGTAGAAACATGGTGGTTCAACATGGGTACTCCATAAAAGGTGACCCATTTGTACATAAAAACTTTCATTCTGAGGTAACAAAAACACAACAATTCCTGTATTCATTTTCACTAATGACAATTTCTGCCAATAGATCCTCCTAAATGTTACACACTGGTACTTTAAATAAAATATGTTTTGAGGAGACATAGCTCTTTATGTACCAAAATAAGTTGAAGGTACTGAAACATGACTTTTTAAATATTACATGTCATTTTAAAAAAATATATAAAAATGCACAGTAAAATAAAACACTAATTTCAGATTGCTAAAGGTGCCCTTGGCTTTTATTAACAACCACATGATAAAATACCATCACATGACAGAGCAAAGTGTTGCTGGTACAACCAACAGCAGTCCTCATCTACTGCTGGCATTCATTCAGTAATAAAAATACATTATCTACATACAGTAATGAAAGGGATACAGTAACAGTCAGAACAGGAATGTGTCAGTATTGGCTTAGCACTGGTTAGCGGATATCCTAAATTTGAATTTAGGACTGGAAAAACACAAACATCATCTTTGGGTTTGTTGTAAACAAACAGTGACACACACAGAAGATCCTCATTATTCTTTTTTTTAAACCACTGAAAGAATGTGCTATTCAACTTTGAAGAAGTTAAATCAATTGAAAGAAAACAAACTACTAAGACATCAAATCAAGATGAACCAAGACCCCCTTGCTGTGTCTCCCCATTAGAAGTAAGGAGGACTTGAATTTACAATCCGTAAATTGAAAAGGATTTGCGGCACTGCTGTTTAAGGAAGACTGCGAGTGGGTTTACAGCACCCAGGAAAGTAAAGAACAAAAGCTGAGGCATAGAACAAATAATATTAGGATCCAGCTTTGAAAGAGGCATTTAAAAGATTTGAAGGCTGAAATGAAGTTGTAGTCCCTCAAATTAGAGACTACAACACCCATCTGTAAGGACACTTGGGACATTTGATACAGCAGAAGAGAAAAGACCACTATTCACAACTTATTTTTAAATTAAGACACACTTTATAACGTCCGATCACCTTGCATATCCACATCCCACCATTATGTATAGTAAAACATTAAAAGAGCTTACCTTGACATGTTTAGTTTTAGCCCATTGTTTTAATGTGAGGGACAATGTTTGCATTTGCATCTCAATGGACAGAAATAAAACTAAACCAACAGATGCTGTGGAAAGATTTCATGTAGCTAACGGACAAACTGACTGGACTTCTATATTCTTTCATTTGAATAAAACACTAAACATATCAAGTGCTCAGACATTGGGCTAAAACTGTAAATGTCAAAAATGATCATATTGAACAACATTATGACTTTATATCCAGCCACAGTAGTGGTGAGCAGGGACTAAAAATAAAGCTTTTATTTTAAAAATCCTGAGTTAAACAAACATTGTCAGTCACACAGTCGCTGTATGACCTCAAACCCCGGTAACGGTGGTCGTGTCTTCGGTGAGCTTTTTTTTTTTTTGCATTTGATTTTTAACAAAGGGTCTGTGCATAGCGGAGGAACTGGAGTCAGTGGAGTCAGGATCACAGACTGGAGCTAAAACACCTTCAATAGCAATTCATTATCACACCGAGCTCATCATTTCATTTCTAAAAGAATCTTCAGGAGTGCTTCTTTTCTTCCATCACCTTTTAAGGCACTTAAATACCCCAAAGGAGGAGGTCCCTTTGTTTCAGTGCAGAGCTCCTGATGTTGACCATTTCAGCAGCGACTCCACAGATGAGAATGAAAATAAACCAAGCGCCCCTTGCAGTTTCCTCAATGTGTCCGACCCTGCTGACAACAGTCCTGCTCCACCTCCCTCTCAGCCCCCATCAGATGTTTTCTGCCTCTCTCTGGGGAACCTCCCTGATGCTGTCCTGGGGTCCCCCACGGGTCGGGGGGCGCCGCCGAATACTCTGGCCGGATGAGATGAGGTCAGCGTAGCCACGGGAGTGAGAGAAGGCATAGGCGGAGCGGCGGGAACGCCGGCCACGCTGGAAGGCTGGCGGCTTTTTCTTCTCCTCCTCTTGCATCTCCATCTCGTACTTCTTCCTGTTTCTCTGGACCTGCGGGATGATGGGAAATAAGCAGGTAACATTAGAGAAACAGTGCTGTTATTCATTCCCCTTATATTACATTATTTTATGACTGTTTCATTTAAAACTTGTATTGTTCTTTCAAATTGCAGTTGGATTAAACCGTTGGACTTTTAATCTCATCCTCTCCACGATTCAATTTGATCCAATTACTCTGACACGTCCATGAATTTAACAACTCATACTTAAGTTTTTATTAAAAGGTCATTTAATAGCTGGTTTTGACAATATAATTATTTAGGACTTTTAATCCCAACAGATGGCAAAACATTTTCAATTATATTACTGTACAAATATGGTGGCCCACACATGTTAACATTTTAGACTTTAAGGTTGCAAGACAAATATTTTTTTGTTTTAACACAAATTATTATTTGAATAAAATATCATCCCTCCTGAGACACAGTGGAAGCTCCCAGTCTTAAAGTGTTGTTGGATTTGATAGTTGCTGAAAAGCAGCATCTCTGCTTAACTACCTAAACAATGTTAAGAGAACAAACTTAAAACAGGAAAAAAAAAATCTACCTAAACAAACTTGGATGACATCTATAATTCCCGTTTTTTTACACGTCCTACAAGGAGTTTTAAGTGAAACAGAAACAGTTTTAATTTAATAATTGATGCTGATGGTCTTGTTTGTTCATTTAGGTCATATCGAGGCAAGAAGATTCTTAATGCCTGTCACAGGGCGGGATTTGGTCGGACAGAGTTGTGGAAACATTCCTGCTTTTGTCCACAGGGGTCACCAGAATCATCACAAAATTAAAGTTGCTTCTAGATTTTTTCTCTTAAGTACTGAAATGTTGCTACCATAAAACTTCATAGTCCTATTATCTTACTGTACTATAGATATTATATTTGATGCATTACTTTCACCAGTTTCCACTGTTACAACTGTAAGCAACCATTAAATGAGTCTTACAATATGGATTCATGGATTATTGTTCTGATATGTTGTGCAAAGCAAAGAAGCCACATGCACATTTTCCTGATACTGGTGATAATTCATGTAGGCCCAACAGCAGTTCTGTAGGTTGACTCATTGAGGTCTCACCTTGTCTCCTACAGAGGGCCAGATGGTTTTATGGAGGAACTGAATGCAGATGACGGGCAGCAGGCTGATGCCCACAGTCAGGATGATGGTTAACCACAGGTAGGGCTGACGAAGAGCATTCGATGCTGCGCCTACAAGCACAAAATATACATGTTAACACAGTCACATGTACTGTATGATATCATGCTAGAAGACTGAGGCAAAAGCTACATGTCCCAATATGATAGTATGATGAGGAAAACAAACATACCCCAATAAATACCACAGTTATTTTGGTTTTAAATGTTTATCTTGCATACTTGGACAAGAACTAGGTTAAATTTATGCTTTACACAATGCTCGAGTAATATCTCTGGCAATGGGTTTGGCTTGGGTTTCCAAATCCAATTAAGAGATCTGCTAACATTACATACAGTATGAAATGCTCACAGCCAGAACCAGCACCATCACAGTATATGGGTCAGTCCTGAAAGTGGCTTTTTAAAACCTTTACCCTTCAATTCTTATTTTTGGGTTTCTGCGTTAGTAATAAAACGAAGAAAAAAAATACAAATGCGTTATTCTCTTTGCAGCTTTTAAAGAGTGTTTTGGAGTAGAGCCTATAAAGACAGCCAACTGCGTCACACTGTGGTGAATGGTTGGTGACTGGTTGGTGACTGACCGGTGAAGGTGAACGCTGAGGGGAAGAGGACGTGGATCCCAGCACTGTGGATGT